TCGCGACCTAAAAAAATCGGGTTTTCCGATCTTAGGCTAATGAATTACTAGATCAATTAAATTAACTAACCTAGCTCGAGTTCTCCCAAACTCTACCAATTCGCAACTTAGGTCCAATTATGAGCATGCAAATATTTTCAATGGGAGTCACCACTAATCATTTAAGGTAGGTTGATTAGAAACCTAAATAAAATAGCGGGAGTACTATTTTATTTCTGCGAACAAGAAATTATGGATTCGGGGACTTGGTTACGCTAGATTCCCTAACGCCCTTTCGGTACTAATTTCAAGAAAAATACTTAATTTGACAATTTTGATCAATCCTGACTTAGAGTTCAAAGGTGCAGAAATTTTTTTTTTGATTTTTTTTATTTATTTAAATGAAAGCTCACCTATATGTAATGGCGTGCAAAAAATTGACATGCGATTAATGCAACCTAACATGCAAACTATATGTCATGCGACGACGTGACTTATTTCTAATGACGGGCATATTATTTTTTTTGTATTTTTTTCTTTAATGAAATTCGGAATTAAAAATAACAATTATCTAAACATGCAATTTTAAACTAAAGAAATTAACCTATTCTAGAGTAATATTTTTGGTATTTTTTTTATCGAAATTCGAAATTAAAATCCAGTAAAAAAAAATAATAACCTCTAAATCTTTCGAATTAAGTTTCGATCTGAAGCCTGACAGATTGATTCTAAAATTCGAAATACCCGCTATGGAAATAACTCTATCTAAAGCCTGATAGATAGATTTATTTCCACGTGGGCGGTTGCGGATTAGGAAATTTTCCTAATCGATCACATCTTGAAAAAATTTACATATCTTAAATATCTTGGATATATTCAAAAGATTTTGAAAATTCTAAATTCTATCCAAATTTGAAAAGTAATAGATATCCAAGATTTCAGAAAAAGGAAATAAAATCCTAATTGGAATAATGCTTATTATCCAAATATGCAAAATTAGATATCATTAAGCACAAATTAGGCAACCAAATATTTGAATCAAATCGAGATATGATAATTAATTTAAATCATAGAATATTAATCGGTCTGTTTTCCCGGCGAGGTAATTTGAGATTTCTTTCATAATTTGAATCGACACGAAAGGCGAGAGCGGAGTCGAGTCAGGAATGGACGTCTAGGCGGCGGTGGCACCGCTCGCGGTGGTGTGCGATCGAGGAAGAAAGCGAGCGCAGGCGTGTTTGTGCTTGGCGGTGGCACAGGCGGAGCAACTACCGGCGAGCGCGGCCAGGGGGCAAGCGGCCGGTGCGCGGCGGTGGCGAAAGCGACGGGGCGGACGGCTGAGCGGCGGGGGGGAGGACGGAGAGCATAGATCATAGGGGAGCTACTGGGGTGAGGATCGGGCAGTGAGGGGGCGGGGGAGTTGGCCGCGGGAAAATATGCCCACAGGCGTGCGTGCGGCGTTGATGGGGCGAGGCGGGCGAGCAAAATGGGCCCTGGGACCGGCGTGGTGCGTCGGCCGGTGGCGCGACGCGGCGGTGGTGCGGCGCGACGGTGGTGCGGCGCGGCGGGCAGTCTCCTTCTCTCTCTCTCACTTTTTTCAAAATTCTCTCGTATGTCTCTCTAAAAATCCGATCTGAAAAATTATGAGAACCCCCTCTCAGATTATGAGACATAAACATATATTTATAGTGTAAACCTAGGTCAATTAGCATGGCTTTCTAGTCCTAATGGGCTTAGGTTTATGCTTTAATTTAATTCTAAGTGAGCTGAATTAATTTGGGCTTTTCTTTAATTAAGCATAATGGGTTAATTTAAGCTCAAATTAAGACAACCAAGCCCTTTTGCGTGTGATTTTCGGCCCATGCTTTCCGAGTGAGCCGAGTCTCGTTCGGTGCCCGAGCTCGATTTACATGATGAAGTTTAAGCTCGCTTACCACCGCCGATCCGATGCGAAATGCAGTTAATCTATATGAACCTAAACTTTATGCTATGCGATTTGTAATATTTTTGTTCAGGAGTTAAAATTTAATCCCTAATTTTCTATATAATTAACCACTAAATGATGCGCCGAAATTTAAGTGTCAACATCTGGCCATCGGCCACAAGCGAGGGCTGGACCCTCGTGGCCTAGGTGAGGGTTGTGTTCACATCAGTGCTGGTCATCTAGCGGCCGTGCTACTTAGGACAATCGGCGTCCACATTAGCGATTTCTAGCCTAAATTGGTCGGATGAATTAAATTGGTTCCAATTTGAAAAGATTTAAGACTAAATTTATCCAATTGAAAGGTTTAAGATTGAATTGGTACTGATGCAGTAAGTTGTTTTTTTTCCCCGATTCGATTCACTCACCAAATAGATGCAGATTCTCTAGGATTGCTGTTTGTTTATCTAGAAGCAAGGCTAATTTGCTTCCATACATATGGTACGACTTCATCACTACCTAGGTTGTCGCACGTTACCCATATGTACGTGTATTGTCTTGTACTTCTAGCCTTACTAAAAAATTGGAATACAAAGAAAGTCTATTCATCTGCCGCTAATTTGAATGCTTAGTTTGGGAAAGAAGGGAGGTTGTGAAAAATGAAGGACATGGATCTGCGAAATTAAGTATATATAAAAGTTTTTATGAGGAGGAGATGAGGTTAATTTAGAAATTTTCCACCACTTCAAGCTTTCCAGACAATGCATAAATTATCACATCTCATAGAACATAGTCGCATAGGCAAGAGTTTTGTCTAGTTGTCTTTTGTATTTGTTAATGTTTCCTCTCTTAGCCTCCGTTTATTTCGCGAAAAATAAAATAATTTGACAAATATATTCCTAAAAATAATCAATTACATTGCTTAAAAAAATGAATGAACAGAAAATATTTTCATCGCTCACAAAAATGTTTTGACATAAATTATTGTCGGTAATGAAAATATTTTTTATTGACTAATTATTGTAAAGCGATACAAGCAAGCATTTTTAGGCATATATTTTCTGAATTATTCATTTTCCACAAAACAAAGGCAACATTAGTACGCCCTTAATTCACGTCCATGATAATCGTGATTGGTGAATATGCACCCGTGAAGTACTAAAATCCGACGGTATAAGGAGGTGTTGACATTTTTAATTGGGACAATCACCGTACGTTGTCGACTTCAATCGTTCATTTAGTTTTTAAAAAGAGCAATAGATTATTTTCTCTATTATTGCGATATATTCCCTCACCAGCATGTGATATTGTTTTTCCTAGCCCATCAACTTTGACCAAAAATAAATCGAGAATTCCTTGAAAAGGCTATAATCAATCAGTTTACACAAGCATTTCTTGTATGATTAATCTCAATTCAGGTGAAACTAACCGGTTTATAGAATAACTTTGACTTCTCGTATTTTCCTTGTATGACACGGCGTTGCTGATAAAATGATAACCCGAAGTAATTTGCTGTTTTCTTATACGAACCAGGTCCCATACATGAAATAGCGAAGTTCTTTTTAAGATGATAATGGAAAATAAGGTCAGTATTTTGATTATTTTCTGTGTTTATAATACAGGAAAAATTCCACTCCATTACTATAATGTCGGCAATTTACTAAGTTAATCATTATTCGCAACCATCAATCAATTTACAAGCACGGAACAATGAAATTCTGCCATCATATTAAAAAATGTGGAAGACTCGAAAGTTTGTTTAGTCCAATCAAATGTGATACATGTTAGGATGTACGTATGAGTTGTTTTAGAAAAAGTCTCACACCAGAGAATTTGTGTAGTTTGGAATAGTTAATACATCATAATTTGTGTAAAACTCATTGGCTTAAGCTTTTAAATGAAGTTGAGTCTAACTAGATATGTTTACAAGCTCGGGCTCTCTTTTGGTGATCTCCTCAGATAATGGTATTAGGTTTTTGCTACATGCTCCAAATAGATGTATCAGAGTCAATGGTTGATTGGTATCCCACTCCCAATTAGTATCAGTATTTGGTGAATTGGAAACCTCCATGGTTCGGTCTTGGATAAAGAGACCAGGATATTAATATATTGTAGTTGGCCTGGCCATTGTGAACCTCCATAGTTCAATCTTGGAGAAAGAGATCAAAGATATTAATATATCCTAATTGACCTGGACATGGGAAGATGATATCAGATTTTTTATACGCGCTCTCAATAATACACACATTTTGACAGGGGTGAAGGGTATTGTCCTTGGTATATGAGACATTCAGATTGTGGAGGAGTAGACAGGTTATAACTTACAAGGTTACGGTTTTTATAGATACGTGGCACGCGTCCAATGGCTCCATAAGACGAAGGAAAAAGATGGAAACAGGACATGGAAGTAGGGCCTTTTCACTCTTTTGAGAAGAGGAATTAGGTAAATAAATCTTAATAGCATAAATACAGCGACGTCCCCTATGTTTATTATTGAAATTACATCGGCACTCCCGCTAGACCCATTTACCTGTTCCAGATGTTTTCGAATGTGTGATGTTGTGATCCTGTTATGGGAATAACATCATGTTATTTTATGAACCTTTTACAAACTTCCTCAGTTTCTTAAGTTTAGAAAGAATCGTTCTCTTTTCGAGAAGAAAGCACTCCTTTTGAACATGGCCTAAACTCTATGATGCTAGGCCGTTTCAGTGTACTCGATGGTTTTACTTTATTCTGCCCAATTATCCTAAACATGAGAGAGAGAGAGAGAGAGAAAGAGAGAGAGAGAGAGAGAGATGCTAAAGATAATGTACCATGGAAATAATTCACAAGATAAAGATCAAAATACTGGAAAGGGACCGCAAAGCAAAATGAGCACTAGAGGAGAGAATATCTACGAAGCATAAGTGCATCACCAAATCTGTTGTTAAATCATCTCCATTCGTCCAAGAACATTCATACGGCAGATAAGCATGCTATTTCACAATTTGGGTTATTCATAGCTGCACAACATATAGCACCCTCAAAAACTTTGCTTCATCCTAAACCAAACTTTTGCAGTCCATCTCCGAGATCAAGATTAATTTTATTGCAACCGTCATGACTCCCCCCACAAATCTAGGACAAAATCATCATAGGAACTAGCGAAGTATGTAGGCTCAGGCTGCGCGCAACCATAAGAAGGGGCATTATTAGTTCCTGAGTTGGCGCACATGTACTCGAAATCTTCTTCTATGTAAAGATCTTCCACTGCAAGAGCTTGGTCCCATAAGGTTTCTCCTTCACCAATCTCATATTCTTGTGATGAGCACCTGTTATATCTCCATGGTTTCTCATCATGGACTCCAATGGAAGGACAAGAGTTATCTGCATTTGTTGCCGGGATTTGATTGTCAAGTCCAAGGCTTGATGCATTCGGACTGTCAGTCAAGGGATGGAATGAGATGTCTTTACGATCAGTGTGGACATTAACATCATTGCATGTGTTCTGCAAACGAAAGTTCTCCTCAGAGACCCGTTTCTTCAAGCGGGTATTCCAGTAGTTCTTTATTTCGTTGTCCGTTCTTCCTGGAAGCCTAGCTGCAATCGCGGCCCAGCTGAAACAAAGAGATAAAAGACATTTTCATCAGTAAGAGGCAATTAAGTAGCTAGTGCTTTCAATTAAGGTCACAACTTCGCCTTCAATTAAAGTGTAATTACTTACCGATTTCCAAGAACTCGGTGCAGCAAAATGATGGTCTCCTCCTCTTCTTGGGTGATGTTTCCATGATTGATGTTGGGCCTCAAATAGTTCATCCAACGGAGACGGCAACTTTTGCCAGTTCTTGCCAAACCTGGGAAATAACGCATATGATTCAAGACAAGGGTTAGTCGAACATACCCCCACAAAAGTTAGAAAGAGCAGACATATCCAAAGAGAAGCACATGAGGAGAATATGAATTATGCATCACAGACCAGCAGGTTTGGCCATGTGAGTCCAGTTCCAAATGCCATATCTCTCGATATAAGCCACTAGTCTTTGATCTTCTTCGACACTCCAGGCACCCTTTTTAACCAGAGTCTTACTGTTGCTTTTGTCGTTCCTCGGGTACCTGGCCATTGTGTTGATCGATACGGATCAGTTCAGAGAACCTGATGAAAATGCTGTCTTTCAGAGTCTCTTCTTGGCCTGAATGATGAAGCTCACTCTTTGAGGTGCTTATAAAGACATGGTGGTCCTCGTACGACATTCCTATATCTTGCACGTGTATACAAAGTCCATAATATTCAATATTCTTGCTTGAAATTTTCTAAGTCCGATGATTTCGAGGAAAGGGGCACTGGTCCTGGAAAGTGGATCTGTTCATGCATCATTGGCACCATCACAATGGGCGGTGTGAACTGACCCCACGGCATAATTTATGTTTGTGCATGTCTTTTCCTATGGTCATTGGCTCTCTAATTTGACTCTGGGGGGACCATGTACTTGAACACATACAAGTAGATGGGAATCTTATAACCATATAATTAGTCGCTGCGTACTCCACCTCAGAGGTATAGGCCATGCCACATTCAAATTTATGACTATATAAAGCCGTATATGATATATAGTGATGCTTGGACTATATTATCACCGGATGGATTTAGGGATAAGGAACGAATTTGTATGTGTAATTAGAGTGTATAAAAAGGAGGTCAACTTACCACAACTTATGAAATTACTAACCTTATATGATAATGATAGCTTATAAAATTAGAATTTCTTGTACTAATTTTTTGTCTTTTATTTACATAACTTACAAATATTTCAAATTTACTAACTCTTATATGAAATTACAAACCTAAATTAGAATGAATTTCTAACTTTTGCCATATTAAATTATCAAATAATTTTGGGTTAGAAACTCTCGTTTGAGTCCTTACCAATGTATAAGCACAAAACTACCTCATAACATAATTAGAAAAAACTTATAGACAACTCAAGTGAGAATTCGTAACACAAAACTAGTTGGTAATTGAATCAGAGAAAAGTTGATAAGTTACCCAAATACAGTTGATAATTCCATACAATAATTGGTTAGAGACGAGGTAGTTTTTTTTTTTTTTTTGTAAAAGAGTAAATGAAGACGATAATTAAACAAAATAGACATTGGTATAAGAGTTGGACAAATTACCAGAATAGATTTAAAACTATTGCAATTGTTCCAAGTCCTAAACCTTTCAATTTGGCCAATTTAATCTTAATCCTTTTGCAAATTTACCAATTTAGTCCTAAATTTTTCAATCGTGCCAATTTAGTACTAAATATTTTGACGATTTGCCAATTTAATCTTTTTGATCAATTTTGGCTAGAAAACGTGAACGTGGCAATCTAGTCAGCACTAGCTGCCCTACTTAACATAGCCAACGGGACGATCGGCACCAACACTGACAAATTTTTAAAGATTTTTATGAATTTTTATTACTTTGTTCCTTTTTCGTTTCCACTTTTTTTCCAACTCTTGGCGGCGAGGTCGCCAACAGGCGAGGGCTGCAACGCCATCAAGAGCCTTTGAGGCTCGAGATCGTCTAGGGGATGGAAGACCACCATCTCAATCTGCCATTGAAGTGTGTAAGAAGAACCTGCCCATTGATTCAATTGGGTCACGGAGACAAACGATTTGAGGCATTAAATGCTAGTGTTAGGACTGAAAGTGCTAAGCAAGTCGAACACGCTACCTAAATGAATTTGCACTAAGCTAATGCGGTAAAAGAAACAAAAACTTAAATCATTACCTCATAAGAAAATTGTCGAAGTGTGCAAACATGTTGTTGTGATGATGTTGTCAAACAGGCAAGTAATCCAAACGCTGCCTACGTCATCCGTGAGGTCAGCAGCAATAGATTAATCAGCAGGAACATATAATAAAAGCAACTTGCAATCTTGGGTTTCATAAACTTCTATTTTTTTTCTGAAGAAAGTCCTTGCCTTTGTTCAAAAGAAAGAAACAAAGAAATTGTGCAACAAAGCAACCCCACCGTACATCAAGTTTGAACTCCATTTGACTAACAGTTTACATTTCTCAAAAAGGGAAATTTTCGTGTCGCGACAATAGAAATTCGATACGCCCGTGATCATCCCGAACCACAAAAAAATACCCAATATAAGATGTGAAATAATCTCTATGAACAAAATTAGATAGTGGGATGGGATTGAAAAAACAAATTTAGCTGAATTTATTAGCAAGACTGCTAAAGTTTTGTTCAACAAATTTTCCTAGGCTTCACATAGGTCTGCATTGACCGGTCTTTGGTCGGAGCGATTATATTAAGAAGTAATTCTAGGCCCCTGCAATATCTTTGAACAATGATCATGTATGTCGTCTAGTGTGTGAAATTCTAGAGGACGAAGCACGTTTCATGCACAAAACGACAAAGAAAAAGATGAACACGCGTATTTAGAATAAGCTAGTAATATAAGAATGACAAAGTGTGGTTACTCATGATCCCATCTGTAATGAAGTTTCCAAATGAAAGATACAGCAAATTTAAAGAAAGAACGTAAGAGATCTCAAAGTCCACGGAATTTATTCCAAACAAATAATTTTTAGAAACGTGGATAATAAAAGGGTCTTCATCAGACACGTCATTGCCGATGCCATCACTTACGTCCATGATGTGATTGTGATGGGGACCCATCGCTTTGATCCAGTTGAAGAGGACAGTTAAATTAATTCTAGTGAATAAACACTTAAATTAGGGTTTTTTTTTTGTGGATAGATCTAGAAATATTAAATTATTTAATTAGCGCCATTTGGTACATGATAATACTTTCGGTTTTCATTAATGAAAATGAAAATATCGTTTCCTGTTTTTAGCTTTCAATTTTTCTGAAAATATGTTTGATTCGTGAAAGTGAGAACTCTCAGTTGGAACGAAAATGGGAAATAAGTTTGCGAAATTCATATTTTATTAAATACCACCTTAAATGAATTTTAATCATAAGAATTAGTATAAAACCTGAAACTTCGCTTTTCAGATGAAGGTTTGTCTTAATTTAAGGATTATCAGCCATGATTGTAGCTGGGTTTTCCAGCTTGACTCACTCAACCTCCATGGAAAATGGATGAAGTTTCGTCCAAAGAGGTCCTTTTCAAGGTCTTTTCTTGAAATTAATCACCGATAGAGATTGCCCTAAAATTATCATCTCTTTGCTGTTTTGACTTCGTGAACTACGTGTGTCACGTGTTAATAAATTTATATTTCTTTTGTATATTTTTCAAGCGCTACAAAAATGTCCACATTATTGACAATAGTTTAATGCAAATTGAGGATGTCTCGTGTCAAGCAAACTTGGCAGAATTGTCCAATGAAACATAACACAGGTTGTCATAAGTTGCCAATTGGCTAATTGGAAATATGAAAAGGTTAGACACAATTAAATAAATTAAACCAAAATCTTTCAAAAGAAAATTTGAAATGGATTTGGAATTTGTTTCAATTGAAATTGTGGATGGACAACCCGAATTAACAGCCACCATGAGGCCTGGGATCCACTAATGATCGCAAGAAACATTACCATATAGCAAGTACTCCTTCTACTCGAAGCTAGTTGATCACATTATGATACACAAGCACTACCTACGCACTTGTACACTTTTGGCCGGGAGGGGGGGTGGTGGTGGGGTGGGGTTGTAGGTATTTTTTCTCAATTTACAAATGAGAAATCAGATTTCTCTACTGCGCACCGGCCGCTTTTACGACTAAGCTACATCAAGTAATGCAATCAGATTTCTTATTAGCATTCGATGGTTACATCCAATTTGGATGTATCGGGGTACAACTACCCTAGCAGAGATTAACTATGATCTGGTACATGAAGAGCCTCTTCCCCGTGGTTAAGAAAAAAATAAACAATTACTAAATATAATCGATATACTAAGTGACGTGGTAAGCTGTACAATTCAAATGGAAATTTGAAAATATGTGGGCTAGATTTACCCAACATCATTCAGGACTTACAAAGATAGAGATCATTATTATAAAAGTAAATGGTCCGGGCTAGAGCTTCATCCAAAATGTCCTAGGCCGAAATTTGGTCGAAAGCCAGCCTCGACGGCCCATGGACAGCCCCAAAATATAATACTAGGACAAAACCTAGTAATATCAATTAAAAAAATCCTAATGAAACGTGCGTGTATTAGCGCTTTGACCTCGTAAAACAAAAAAATACGGTCAGCAGCAATAGATTAATCACTAGGACCATATAATAAAAAGCAACTTGCGATGTTGGGTTTCATAAACTTCTATTTTTTTCCGAAGAAAGTCGTTGCCTTTGTTCAAAAGAAAGAAACAAAGAAATTGCGCAACAAAGCAACCCCCCACCGTACATGTTTGTTAATCTTAAAAACGATTTGACCAATAGTTTGGTAAACTTGTAACTTTTACCGGAATATCATCCTTCTAGCTTACATTATCAAAACCGGAAATTTCCGTGTCCCAACGATAGAAACTTGACATCTCCACGTTCATCATGAACCGCAACCCAATTACATTTCGATATTCAAGATGCGGAATAATTCTACAAACATAATTAGATAATGAGATTGGTTTGAAAAACGAGGTTTGTTCAACAATATTTCAAAGGCTATTTCACGTTGGCCCGCATCCACCGGTCTTGGGTCGAACTAAACGATAGGCACGAACATGTATCGTCAAGTGGGGTGAAATTCTAGAGGAACAAGGATGTTTCATGCAAATAACGATAACGACAAGGAAGATGATGAATTAGCAGTTCTACAGACAACACACGGATTCAGGATTAGCGGGCAACATTATAAGAATGATTAAGTACGGTTACTTATCATTATGATTCCATCTGTAATAAAGTTTCAAAATGAAAGATATTGCAAATTAAAGAAAGAACGAAAGAGACGTCAAAGCCATCCATGGATTTCATTATGCATTAGACAGGTCGTTGCTGGGGCCATCACTTCCGTCCATAGTGAGAATTTTCAGCTTGAATAAAAACTAAAAACATGTTTGCGAAATTCATATTTGACTATACTATTGATATTATGATAAACATTTAATCTAAACTTGGGAAAGATTGTCCCCACTAATATATCGTCTTATATGAATTTAAATCAAAGAGTTAATT